CCTCGGAGGGATCAGAAAGGTCAGCGCTTCTGAACATAGTTTCTCAAAGATGAATCAGGCCCACCAGGATGATGCAGGCTGGGAGGTGTATTTCAGCTGAACACTTGCCTAGCATATGAGGTCAGAGGTTCAATTACCAGCATTATGAAAACAAAAAACAAAAATCAAAAAACAAAAACAAAACTACAGATAATTGAACATCACCTTCCCCTTAAGTTGTTTCTTCTTCTTCTTCTTCTTCTTCTTCTTCTTCTTCTTCTTCTTCTTCTTCTTCTTCTTCTTCTTCTTCTTCCTCCTCTTCCTCCTCCTCCTCCTCCTCCTCCTCCTTCTCCTCCTCCTCCTCTTCCTTCCCTGAGACAGGGTTTCTCTGTGGAGGCCTGACTGTCCTGGAACTCACTCTGTAAAACAGGCTGGCCTTGAACTTACAGAGATCCACCTGCCTCTGCCTCCTGAGTGCTGGGATTAAAGGAATGTGTCATCACTACCTGACCTTTAGAATTTGCATTTTTAAGAAGTTCTGAGTGTTGCTGGCCCAGGAAAGCCCCCTTTTAGAATCACTGCTCCATGGTTATATACATAGCATGCCTGAAGCCCTGCCTTCAGTCACCTCTATAGAAACAAAATGGATGAATGAAAATCACTGTTCTAAAGCAGGTTTTCTCGACAATGTCATGAATCACTTTCTGGAGCAGCAGATTCTTGGTGTATCCTTGCCTCTGCCGACCAGACAGGCACAGGTATCTTCAAATATCGTCAAATGTCCTTTAAGGAGAAAAACTGACCCAAGTTAAGGAATGCAAGAGTCTAGGTGGGCTTCAGAGTGGAAGGAGAAAAAAACTCGACGCGTAGGAGTCTGGTGCAGGCCAGGGCTCAGTGCAGCGGGTGGGGTTCATTCAGGGTGCGGTCAGAGAAGGGTCACTATATGCATGGGGCTTTACTTGGTCCCATGGAAAGAGGCTGCCATGTTAAATTCACCCCTCCTACACACACTCTGGCCCTGGCTACCAGCTGTCCAGTCTCAAAGTCTTGATTTGTTTTTTGTGTTTTTGGTGCTAGGGATCAAACCTATCGAACCTGCCCCCAATCCCCAAGAAGGAACAGACAGTCCTGTTAACCCAGGTTTCCAACAGCATTCCTCTAAGGCTCAAATTCTCACAGCCCAATTTGCTCAGGGATTCTTACCTCCGTTCTGTTCCCCCTTTTCCCCACTTAAGAAGCAGTAGGCTTTTTTTTTTTTTTTTAAAGATTTATTTATTTATTATGTATACAGAAGAGGGAGCCAGATCTCATTGCAGATGGTTGTGAGCCACCATGTGGTTGCTGGGAATTGAACTCAGGACCTCTGGAAGAGCAGTCGGTGCTCTTAAGCTCTGAGCCCTCTCTCCAGCCCCAGTAGATTCTTTGGTTAGCAAATACTGTTTGTTTTTTAGAGACAGGGTTTCTCTGTGTAGTTTTGGAGCCTATCCTGGAACTCACTCTGTAGACCAGGCTGGCCTCGAACTCACAGAGATCTGCCTGGCTCTGCCTCCTGAGTGCTGGGATTAAAGGCGTGCGCCACCACCGCCTGGTTTTGATATGAAGAGACTGACAAGTCAACTCTGCCTGTCATCTGATTACATGGGACAAAGGATGACTGGTTCTCCCTCTCTAGGGGACTCCTCCCTGACTGAGGTCACTGACATTGTCGGAATTCTCTTCTCTCCCCTGAAAGGGTCAACTGTCTCTGTACAACCAGGGGAGGCAGGGGAGGAAGACAGGGCCAACCTGTGCCCTCACGAACTGTTCGTAAATCAACTGTTTGAAGGGGAATTAGGGATAGACGGAACTGGGGCCACAGGCTAGAAGAAATAATTGTGCCGGTGTGTGTGTGTGTGTAGAAAAATGATTTAAAAGTCCACCTCCCTCACAGTTCAGCTCACAAAAACCACCCAGTGAAAAAGAAGTTTGGCTTTAAGTGCCCACGGTATTAAGTGCTAGAGACTGGAAGTCATAAAGGGAAATTAACTGAAAGCTAGAGATGCCATTACTCATTCGGGAGCAATCTGTCTCTCCCTAAGTAAGGAGACAATTTGCACCCCCTGGAGATGTTTCATGCTTAAATCTTTATTCTCAGCTAGGGCTTCTATTCGCTTCCATCCTAAGTGGTACCGCCATTTCCTGCTAATGGCTCCTACTCAGCCCTGTAAGGAACTAGGAAGGACCGAAGGGGTTGAAGGAAACCCCCTCAGCCTCCGAGGCCTTCTACTCTCCAGTCACCATCAACTCAAGGGACTGGGAGGCCTTTGGAAGTGCAGTGTCAGAGGCTGGTGATCTGGCTCCATGGGTAAAGGCATTGCCAGGCCTGACAATTTGACTTCGACCCAAGGAATCCACATGGCCGGAGAGAGCCAATTCATGCGCACTGTGGCATGTGTTAATTCCAACAGGTGCTTGCTAGTGCAAGTCTGGTGACCCCTGTAAGGGTGGAGGCAATCAACTCTACCACCTTATCCTCTTCCCATGTGTATCATGGCACAGGTGCCCACACATACACACCATGCTTACAAACACACAATGAGGTGAGTAGAAGGGACCGGACTGAGGCATGTGGATCTGGTGTTAATAAGGGTTAAAGAGGCTGGAGGATGACTCTGCAGTTTAGAGCATTCACTATTTTTTCAGAAGACCTGAGTTCAGATCCCCGCACCCACATCAGGTAGCTCACAACTGCTTGTAACTACAGTTTTCCAGGATCCGATGCCCTCTTCTGGCCTTTGTGGATACTGCACACACATGATGCACTTACTGATAAACAGGCACATACACATAGATTAAAAATTAAATTTAGGAGCTGGAGAGATGGCTCAGCAGTTAAGAGCCCTGGCTGCTCTTCCAGAAGACCTGGGTTCAATTCCCAGCACCCATATGACAGCTTACAACTGTCTGTAGCTCCAGTTCCAGGGGACCGGACACCGATGGCAAAAAACAGCAATTCACATAAAATTAAATTTAAAAAGAGGTGTTAAGAAGCTACTTGTGGGGTTGGGGATTTAGCTTAGTGGTAGAGTGCTTGCCTAGCAAGCACAAGGCCCTGGGTTTGGTCCTCAGCTCTGAATGAAAAAAAAAGAAAAGAAAGAAAGAAAATAAGAAGCTACTTGTAAGGGGGCTGGAGAGATGGCTCAGAGGTTAAGAGCACTGGTTGCTCTTCCAGAGGACCCAGATTCAACCCAGCACCCACATGGCAGCTCACACCTATCCATAGAACCAGTTCCAGGGGATCCAATTCCCTCACACAGACACACGTGCAAGCAAAACGCCAATGCATATAAAATAAAAATAAATTTTAAAAAAGCTACTTAACGATTTCTGTGGAGGAATGAAGACCAGGCTGAAGCCATTTGGGGCCACATTTTTCCTGGAGAAGGTCATCATAGCCATATATGTAACTAGTTAGTGCTTGGCCAGATGACAGTCACCATTCTCTTTCAAGACATGTATATATATGAGGGGAAGACCATTTTCAGGTTTCTTAGTGGCTTTACCCAGCAGGTCTGCATAGAGGATGATTGGACCATGGGCCTGAGTGCAGGTGTCTGATATGGTCTGCACTTGGCTGTGCTGGGGGGAAGGGTGTCTTTTGCTCCACCCTTTGGCATTTCTATAAATACCCTGGGGCAGAGACAGTCTGGGCCTGTTGGACTAGGTTCCAGGCCCTCTTGTATTTTCTGTTTATCTCCATACTCTAAATCCTTCTATGTAATATTTCCTGCTGCTCCTACTCAAGAGCACTCTGGGGAAATGTGGGGGTTGCGGGTAGCGCCCCCCCATACATATATATATTTGTGTGTCTGTATAATGAGTTTTGTTTGTTTTGATTTTTTTCGAGACAGGGTTTCTCTGTATAGATTTGGTGCCTGTCCTGGATCTCGTTCTGTTGACCAGGCTGGCCTCGAACTCACGGAGATAGATACTCCTGGCTCTGCCTTCTGAGTGCTGGGATTAAATGTATGCGCCACCACCGCCCAGTTGTGATGAGTTCTTTTCTTCCCCTTTGGTACTGTTTTGAGGCAGGTTTCTCTTGTGTCTGTCATGCTGTGTGGGTGCTTCAGGCTAGCTGGTCTATGAGCTTCTAGACAATCCCTGTGTCTAACTCTTACCTCCATGTTGAGTGCTTGGGATTATAAATGAGCACCACCGTATCTGGAGGTTTTTTTTTTTTTTAAGATTTATTTATTTACTATGTATATAGTGTTCTGTTTGCATGTATCCCTGCAGGCCAGAAGAGGGAGCCAGATCTCATTACAGATGGTTGTGAGCCACCATCTGGGTGCTGGGAATTGAACTCAGGACCTCTGGAAGAACAGCCAGTGTTCTTAACCAGCCCCCCTGAATCTGGATTTTAATCAGTTTCTGGCAACCAAACTCAGGCTGGCCTCCAACTAGCTATGTAGCAGAGGATGACCTTGAACTTGATTCTCCTGTCTCTAGGTTCTAAATGCTGGGATTACAGTTCATGCCGTGTCTGGCCGGATCCCACAGTACACAGTACCTTGTATGGTAAAGGCTCAAAGTAATGAAGCCAGTTCCATGCTTTTTAACCCCCATCTTTCCCAAATATACCTGACAATGGGATCTTTAAACTCAGAGTATGTGAAGTCTGTGGAACACACCCTGAGAAACCTCATTCTACAGGATCTAGTACCCGAAGTTTATGCTCTATGGGATTTGGGGGTTTGCTGTCCCCATCGCCAATCACACTTGCGGTCTCTGGCTCAGGGCACACCACCTCCCCTGAGGTTTGTGTCTGCTTTTAGACAGCCCTCCTTGTTTTCTGTCGATATCCCAGCAAAATCACAGCATCTCTGATGTCTCTTTGTTCTCTTGCAGGCGCGGTAAATCGCTCCCCCGTGTTTCCAGTGTGCTTTACTCAAACTTCACTCACTGTATTAAGTAATTGCTCTGAGAGCTTTACATCCTGCTGGCTTCTTCATTAATAAGTTAAATAAATCTCTGGCATGTGCTCACTTAAAAAAAGGAGTTTATTTCCAACACTGTTTTCTTCTGGTTTGTACACTTCTCAGGATGGCAAGGACAAGATCTCTTCTGTCTCTGCTCTCAACAATGATGATTCTGCCTGTCACATAACAGGGCTTGGTGGTGTTGAATGACTATGCTGTAAACCCAGGATAGTATCCTCTTTGACTTATGATAAATATGATTTAAGTTCATGGGCCTAAAGTCTAAATCCAAACATGCTCAGAATTGTTGAAGATAGGAAGACTTTTTGCTTTGAGATAGACGGTTCAAAAAATACACTTTCTACTTCTTAGGAGCAGATGGATTCATTAGTGACTGTCTGTGTGCTAGACATAGTCAACCAGAGACCCCAGGGAGGTAGGAACCTGTTTTAGTAGAAGGCACATCTCTGTCAGAGCAGGAAAAGTCAGACAAATAAACAGGATCATAAAAAGCCACAGAAAATGCCTTGGCCAAAGCCTACGAAAACATCCATCTCCCATTTGGGCTGCTCATGAAGCTGTACTCTGGCCAAGGGCACCGACTGGGGCTGCCATGGCTCTGTCTACTCCAGGAGCCCCAGCACAGGACTGCCACTAAGAAAAACACTTTGGGCAGGAGGCAGAGCTGACAGACCCTATTCAGAGATTGTGTCCAAATATACAAGAGCCAGGTTCTTCTGGACCTCACTTATCACTTTCTGGATGCTCTGCTTGTAGTTACAGAAAAGTATTTGTTACTGATAATTATACTATGTCATTTTCACTCCTGGGGGGGGGGGTCCTCCAAGTAAACAGCATCTCTGAAGTGTAAATGGATGCTTGCTCTAACTTACAGCAATCAAGCCTCAGAGGAAAGACAGCAAGAAATAAGAAATCTAAGCCACAAGGTTCTTGTAAAAAGGTATCTGTTTGGATTTTTAATATAAAATGACTCAAACACAGAAAGAAAAATATCATACAAGCCAGTTACTCAATTTAAAATAAAACAGAAAACAAATCCAACTAACAAATTTCAAGTGACATCGTTTGTCTCCAGCATAGGTTAAAAAACAGGAGACCTCAAACCCAATGTTTGTCCCTCTGAAGACATCTTATTTTTGTAAAAAGAAACCAATCCCTGAAATCTGGCAGGTGGTACCAGAGGCCACAGCTGTCCTGTAAATGGGGTACAAGTGGTTGCTGGAGTATGGCCATCACCTCCAGCTACTTGCTAGTGACGGTCATCTGAAGGCAGGTCAGCCTGGACACCATATGACTCTGGCCAATCATGTAGTCTGAGCCTCAGGTCCCACAGCCTGGGAGCCTTCCAGCCTACATCTTCACTGAATCTCACCCATGTACAGCCTCTTGTCACTGGATGCTGAGAGGACTGAGGGAAAAAGAGCAGAGAGGAGACAATGAAGGCTTGGGAACACTTGGGCTCAAGGGCCCCGTGTCAAGAGGCAATCGTGACATGTGAGAGCAATTGGATTGAGCTTGAATTCTCCTCCCAAACACTACACACAGGAAATTGCAGCCTGGCCTTTCAATCCAAGTCCCCTTGAAGCCTCGAGGGTAGCTATGCTATGGGAAACATGACTGGGCTCAAATCCTGATGCTCTTGTAATTCAGACCCATGTCTGTTCTGGTCACACACACATACAGGTGCAGGTGTGTGTGCATTTTTTGGAGCTGGGGCTTTCTCAGACAGGGTTTCAGAGACAGTCTCTTTATTCAGTCCAGGCTGATCTAAAACTTGTGATATAGACTGGCTAGCCCCAAACCTCCAGCAATCCTCCTGCTTCTGCTCACTGAAGGCTGGGATTACAAGTGTCCACCACTCAATGAGCTCCTGCTTGTTATAGAAAGCCCTGGAGACAGGCAACATGTTTTGTTTTGTTTTTCCTTTCTTTAAATATAAAGCCTATTACTTGGCTTAGCTAATCAAATTTATTTATTTATTTATTGTTTTTTGAGACAGGATTTCTCTGTGTAGCTTTGCCCCTTTCCTAGAACTCGCTCTGTAGCCCAGCCTAGCCTCGAACTCACAGAGTTTGCCCCTGCCTCCCGAGTGCTGAGATTAAAGGCGTGTACCACCACTGCCCAGCTTAATCAAATTTATTATAAATATTCCTAAATTGTTCTTGTCTACAGTCCCTGCCACTCCAAGAGACTAAGTCATGGAGAGAAGTTGAACTGAAATTTGACAAAAGAACTCCAACAGGCCGGGTGGTGGTGCCGCCGCCCTTTAATCCCAGCACTTGGGAAGCACAGCCAGGTGGATCTCTGTGAGTTCGAGGCCAGCCTGGCATACAGAGTTCCAGGATAGCCAGGGCTACACAGAGAAAACTCTTGTCTGGGGGCTGGGGGGGAAGAGTTTCCAATTTCATCTGAATATTAGTAAACAAGAAAATCCTAGGTTGCTATAGCACTGACATTTCCTTTTATGCTGACAACTGCCTTTTCTTACAGCCAAACCATCCCGCCCCCCCAAAACCCAACCCAACCCAAACAAACCAAACAAAAAAACTCTCATACCAAAATACCTCAAAACCCAAGTGTTAGCACTGGATTCACATAACTGACCCCTGCCTGCCTCTGTCCCCCGAGTCTCAGGAGAGGTCGTTTTCTCCAGACTTACTGATGGGCTCGTCAGGGTGGAAAGCCACTTCATTGATGGAGCCAGCATGGCCAGGCAGCTTATACAGGATCCTTCTGCTTGTGGTGTCCCACACGTACACAAACCTGCAAGGGACCATAAAGAAAAGTGCAGGTCCCTTAGAAGCGGGGAGGACACTTGGGTCTTGCAGTGAAATGGGAATGTTTGTTTACTGAACTATGCTCTGGGCTTTAGAAACTAGGACTATACCAAGTGAAGTAAAGAATATCTGGTGGCTTGAAACCAACAAAATTGAAATAGCCCTTGAATTTATTATTTACACAATTCTGAAATTATAGAAAGATAAACATATCTATGTTACTGACACAGCTTGCCATTACTAGGCTGCAGACATGGAGTTGGGGGAAAGGCACAAACCTAGGTATACTTTTACTCTAAAATCCAAACAAGCTAGGCATGATAATATATACCTGCAATCCCAGCACTGGAAAGGGGGAGACCAAGGGGATCACAGATGGGAGGCCAGCCCAGGATATACTGTGAGATGTTCTAAGCAAATAAACAGGCTTATTAATTACACCCTCATGCTCTCACAGTCCAGGCTCCAGAGCAAATGAGTAAAAGTTCTGGGATAGCTGGGGACATTGGCACACACCTAGAAACCCAGCACTTGGGAGGAACAGGCTGGAAGACAAGGACTTCAAAGCCATCCTTGGCTACACAGTCAATTTTCAGCCACCCTATCCCTAAACTCATGTTCTAGACAAGAGGCAGAGCCCCACCATCTCTGCCTCTTAGCTGGTGCTCAGGCCTTCTGTTCTACCACATACAAACTCCAGGCAGCGATTCCCTAGCTAAGTAATCAGACAACTGCTTCCTTCTTCTGTTAAAGTGATGGGGGAAAAGTGAGTTTATAGCTTTTTGAGAAAAACGAGAATATATGCACCGTGTCTGGCACACAGAATTAATGATTGCTACAGTTATCCTGAGTACATATTATAAAGCTAGAACCACAGGAAGTCAGCAGGCTGGTCTGAATCCTCTCGGCCCAGCCTGGCTAGTGTCCATCCCAGGACTGGGAGGGTTAAGGTGCACACGAAGAAGTGATCTGTAAGCAGAAAGGGGAAACCTGCCAAACTTAGACTCAGCTGGAAGGCGGTTTCCTGAGGTGGAGATTATCTCTCAGGTACACAGAAGCTGGCAGAAGCCTGGATCTCCAAGGGTTTACTTCAAGGCCTCACTCTTCATGGCTGCCAATTACATGCTAAATTTAGAGGGGTTCCTTGTCCTCTCCACATTTGGTAGAAACCAGGCTACTTATGCAATAGAACTGCTTGCTTACTTCAGGCTAACTGTCAAGGTGGCCAATGAAATCCTGCTAAGCCCAGAAGAGGCAACAGGGCCTTCCTTCTGACCAAGCCATGCCTCCTCATGTAAGGGATGGTGAGGAAGAAGAGGGGCGAGAGGACATCATAAATTAGAAAATGTGTGCTGGGCATGGTGGTACACACCTTTAATCCTAGCATTTTGGAGGCAAAGGCAGGCAGCTCTCTCTGAGTTCAAGGCCAGCCTGGTCTACACAGCAAGTTTGAGACCAGCCAAGACTACATAGTGAAACCCTGTCTCAAAAAAACAAAACAAAACAAAACAAAACCAAACGCTGGGCAGTGGTGGTGCATGCCTTTAATCCCAGCACTGAGGAGGCAGAGAGAGATGGATCTCTATGAGTTCAAGGCCAGCCTGGTTGACAGCAAGTTCCAGGACAGGCTCCAAAGCTACAAATAAATCCTGTTTCAAAAAACAAAACAGACAACAGAATACGCTCATGTTGGGAAAAAACTGTTCTTGTCAGAAAAAGAGCTTATGCAAATATATATAATTTTTAAAAAGATACAATTAGGTGGTGGAATAGGCCTTTAATCCCAGCACTCTGGAGGCAGAGCCAGGCGGATCTCTGAGTTCGAGGCCAGCCTGGTCTACAGAGAGAGATCCAGGACAGCCAGTGCTACACAGACAAACCCTGTCTTGAAACCCCCCCAAACAAACAAACAAAAAACCTAAAACAAAACAGAAAACAAGCAAACAAAGATAAAATTAGGGGCTGGAAAGATGGGTCAGTGGCTAGGCTGCTCTTCTAGAGGACGAGGGTTTGACCCCAGCCCCAGACGGTGGTGGCTAACCATCTGGAATTCCAGATTCAGGGACTCCAACTCCCTCTTTTGGTCTCCACAGCACCCGACATGCCAGTGGGCAGACATTCATGAAGGCAAGACATCCATACAGGTAGATACGGCTAGATGAAAACTTGAAAAATCTTTCAAAAAAGACAATCTAAAACAATTTAAAAACGATACAGTTATACAGAGGAGACATACCATCGCTACTTAGAAAGATATAAAAATACTAAAAATGCTTTCCACTCTGTGGAATGCAAACTCCTTTGTGTGTTTTTGTTTTAAATAGCCGGGCGGTGGTGGCGCACGCCTTTAATCCCAGCACTCGGGAGGCAGAGGCAGGTGGATCTCTGTGAGTTCGAGGCCAACCTGGTCTACAGCTCGAGATCCAGGAAAGGCGCAAAGCTACACAGAGAAACCCTGTCTCGAAAAACCAAAAAAAAAAAAAAAAAAGTCTCACTATACAGTCCAGGCTGGCCTGAAGCTCTGACCCTGGCCTTACTCTCCTGAGTTCTGGGTTACAGGCAAGCACCATGGAAGGCTCCTTGGTCTATTTCTTAAGTTTCTGTTTGTCTGTTTTTTTTTTTGTTGTTGTTTTGTTTTAAAGATTTATTTATTTATTATGTATGCAGTATTCTGCCTGTATGTATGCCTGCTCTGCAGGCCAGAAGAGGGCGCTAGATCTCATAGATGGTTGTGAGGCACCATGTGGTTGCTGGGAATTGAACTCAGGACCTTTGGAAGAGCAGCCAGTGCTCTTAACCACTGTGCCATCTCTCCAGCCCTCCCCCCCCCCCGCCCACTTTTTTTTTGAGACAGGGTTTCTCTGTGTAGCTCTGGCTGCCCTGGAACTCACTCTGTAGACTAGACTGGCCTTGAACTCAGATCCATCTGCCTCTACCTCCCGAGTGCATGTGCCCCCCCACCTTCTTCTTTTTTTGGCAGTGTCTCAGTAATGTAGTGCAGGCTGGCCCAGGACTGGCGATTCTTGTGCCTCATCCTCCTGAGTGCTGGGGCTCCAGGTGTGTATCGTTGCAGCCTGTTCTGGATAACAGAACAGGCTGTGCTCTTAACCAGCCCCTTGTTAGTTTTTTTTAACGTGTCCTAGGCATGTAACAGCTTTGTCCACCAAGCCAGGCATCAAGCTAGGATGAACAAAGGACTGCCATCTGCTCTGCCCCTGGCTGATAGAACACCACCACCACCAAGGTGTCTCTGCCCATTGCCGGGGGCAGGGTTAAGTTTTTTTTTTTCTTCATAATAGAAAATCTCTTAGGGTAGACTCAAACCATCAATATAGCACTGTTTCTCTTAGGTATCCACTTGCCCCAAACACCCTGAATACTTGTCCAGTTCTCCTAACATTAAATTTGTTTGGGAGAAAAAAGGACTTAAAAAATTTCCACGCACAAACCAGGCCATGTGTAGTGGTGCACGTCTTTAAACCCAAGTTCTTGGGAGGCAGAGGCAGATGTATCTCTGTGAGTTAAAGACCAGTCTGGTGTACAGAGTAAGTTTCAGGACAGCCAGAGCTACATTCGGAGACCATGTCTTGGCAAAAACAAAAACAAATTTCTAAGCATGTTCCCAACGGGAATCCTCAAGTGTGCTGTCGGCTATGAGCTAGGGAAGAATCCTGCTTACAGGCCTCTACCACCGAGTCTGTGGAGTCTCTACAAGTGCATTGTCCTCACCCCATTCCCTCCCAAGTACACACCACCACAGACACTAGAAACAACAGCATCTGACGGGTGAATTCTCTCCCTTCTGTCTCTCATTCACAACATAAGGCCTTGAACCAGTTTAAGTTCACATGTAAGAAAGCATTGGTCTATTCATTTGGCAGAGATGGACAACACCCAGCCCATTTCACTCAGCAATGTTGGCACATTCCATGGAGCCCAGTTCTGGCTCTGAATCATCTTCAACACTGGTAGCTATGACCAATTGTTGGGTTGACACAAGGGTGGGATTTGACTGCTATCTTTGACCTAGGAATTCATTCTTGAGATAGTTAGCAAGTGCTTATAAGAATTCAAGCACCAACTAGCAGTACCCTGAGTTTACAGAGAATGTCAAGACTCAACCCCTGACTACTGAGAGCAATTCACAGGGATATCCCAATGTTTGTCTAAATGTAAGAAGGGGGAAATACGAATAAAATATGAAGTGTGACTACAGGAAAGAACAACATGTGTTATGTTAAAGAGACGAGAGAGAGAGAGAGAGAGAGAGAGAGAGCGCACACTCAAACGCCAACGAGCGCACACTCAAACGCCAGGGAAAGCTCAGAGCTGCAGCAGAGAGTAGGGAGGGAGGTGGGGAGAAGCTGGGATGAGAATGCAGGGGGAGGTTAACAGATCATGAGAATACAGCACTGGGATTTGAGCCTGGAAAGGACAGCCTCAAATGTACCGAATGAAGGAAAGTATGGCAGAAGACTGGGAGACTAGGAAGATTTTGAGTTCCCAACAGATACAAAGGGTTAAAATGTAAAGAGAGATAGAGAACTCTAAGTTTGTCCAACATGGGCTTTAAGCCCTTTATCTTCCCACGGCTTCATCTCTGCGAGCCCCTTAGCCCCTTGGGTAAGTACATCTGTTGTCTTCACATCCACGCATTAAATTCGAGACCCAACCAGCCGCATCGTTCTCCACCTTCTACCCAGGACGCCTTACCTGTCTGCTGAACCAGCAGCTATCTTGCTTCCATCAGGTGACCAAGAACACCGCAGGAGGTTCTGTAATGAGTAACAATGCACAGGACCGTTATTATGCCAAACTCCTCTTGCTATACTCCTGCTTGCTATAACTGACTTGAAATTTGCTACTGGGCTTTGAGTGTCTCCCCAGAACAAACACCAGCTAATATATTCCTGCTCCAAACAGCATGCTTTATAATTTTACTTACTTTTCTTTAAATAGTTATCTTATTATTTTATGTGTATTATTTTAGGTGTTTGGTCTGCAGGTATGCCTGATGTGTGCCTGATGACTGAGGAAGCCAGAAGAGGGCGTCCTACCCCTGGGACTGGAGTTACAGACGTCTGTGAGCTGCCAGGCGGCGGGTGGGAACGAAACCCTGGTCCTCTGGAGGAGCAGCCAGTGCTCTTACCTGCTGAGTCATCTCTCCAGCCTGCTTTGTAATTTTATACCACACGACAACTAGATGCAGAAATGCTTAACCTACAGTTATGAAGAACAAACCCGGCAACGAAAATTTGTTCTGTCTTTAAACAAAGGCTCCCTTTGCTCCACTTATCTTGATTCTCATTAAAACATTTACAAATTTTATCTTTTTTGTTTTTTTACTCTTCTTTGCTTTATCTTGACAGAAAAAAAAAAAACCCAAACCCAACAAAAATCAGATTTGATTTATAAGGTAAAACAATCTCAGTGAACTCTCAAAAGAAAATCATTAATCTCTCTTAAGAAACTCAATGACAGAAAACGTGGCTTCCAAAGGAGCTGACTGGACACTTGAGGGTTTGAGAAAAACTCTCTTGAACTCAGGCCATTGTGATTACAAGGGATCGGGTACGGACCCAGGCTCTAACAGCTGTCATCTGGGTGACAGCAATGGGAGTCTGGGGCCCACAGACACTAACTCAAGGCCCTGTTAGGGAGGGAGGCACTGAAGTCAGGCTGGGCCCCAGTGCTATCTACCCATGTGGCTGCCTTCCCCACCATTCTGCACTGGTGCTACTACCTCTGTCGAGAAGAGCCCTGACCCAGGTGTGGGGGCATGCTCCCACAATCTGAGCACACGGGAGGCTGAGGTGGGAGAGAGGGCAGCTCCGATGACGATGGTTACCAGACTTCACTCCTCCTCAGTGGGACAACACCTCTCTCTCTATCCTTAGCATCACTATAAATGAATGATTCTTCAGATCAAATGGACGGTAAAACCAACCCCGTGGCAAGTACCACTCACCTTCTCAAAGTTGTGCACATTTCCTTGAAATATCTTCACGCATCTCTCTTTGGGAGCAAAGGGCCGGACATCCCAGACACGCACTACAAAGCAAATCCACGTCAGTCAAGCAACAAACACAACTGTGGCCAGCAGCTTCCATGTCAGTAACAAATACTGTCTCCTGGGTGAGGAGGTCCAAACAACACAATACTAATTGCTAAGGCTCCTTTTTTTCCCTTTTCTTTTTTGAGACAGGGTTTCTCTGTGTAGCTTTGGAGCCTTTCCTGGAACTCACTCTGTAGCCCAGGCTGGCCTCGAACTCAGAGATCCACCTGCCTCTGTCTCCTGAGTACTGGGATTAAAGGCCTGCACCACCACCACCTGGTTTCTTTTCTTTCTTTCTTTCTTTCTTTTTTTTTTTTTTTGAGACAGGATTTCTCTGTGTAACAACCCTCCCTGGCCTGGAACTCTCTATGTAGATCAATAAGGCTAGCCTTGAATTCACAGAGAACCCCCTGCCTCTGCTTCCCAAGTGCTAGGATTAAAAGTGTGAACCACCATGTTCAGCTTCTACCTTATTTTTGGAAACAGGGTTCACTGAGCTGATTGGCTAGACTAGCTGGCCAGTGAGCTCCACGGATGCCCTTGTAGCCCAGTGCGGGGGTGGGGGAGGTGGGGATGGGGTGGGAGGTGGGGTGGTGGTTGGGTTACAGATGTCTGGGTTTTACCTAGGTGCCAGGGAACTGAATTCAGGTCCTCATGTTTGAACAACAGGCACTTTATTAGCTGAGTCAGCACCCCACCTCCATATGACAATCTAAATGCCACTGACTGGTGTGACGACACATCTATAAAGACTCAGCTTTCCTTTAATTTGACGGGTGCTTTGACAGTCTCAACTTGAATAAGGTCAACTACAGCAAAAAACCACTGCAATGAGAATTAGGACACATGCACACTATCTTCATAATATCCACATGAACACATGTCCCCATCTCCAGGACACATGAACACTGTCCCCCAACCCCAGGACACAGGAACACCATCTCCATCCTTAGGTGCTGGGGATTTAATCCAGGGTCTCACATAATATGCCAGGTGAGTGCTCTATCATACAATCTCGCCTCAGAAACCACAAACTCTAAATCTAATTTTGTATCTTATATAGATACACGGGTAATGCCAGGTAAAGTGAGAACACTTCTTGGCTTCCTGCTCTGTAAAATTAAGGAAAAGAAAAACAACAAAAAACATATATATATATATATATATATATATATATATATATATATATATATATATATATATATATTTTGGATACAGTCTTGTGTAGCCCAGGCTGACCTAGAATATGTAGCTGAGGTAAACATTTTTTTGTTTTTCTAGACAGTTTCTCTGTGTAACAGCTCTGGCTGTCCTGAACTTGCTCTGTAGACCAGACTGGCCTCAAACTCGGAGATCTGCCTGCCTCTCTCTCCTGAGTCTATCTTTTTCTTTTGTTTTTGTTTTTGTTTTTTGAGACAGAGTTTCTCTGTGTAGTAGTCCTGGCTATCCTGGAACTGACTATGTAGACCAGACCACAGATCCACCTAAGGGTAACTTTGAGCTTTTTAAAAAATAAGCCTATTTCAAAGATAACCATAACAACTTTTCTTCTCTCTTTTCTTTTTTCTTTCTTTCTTTCTTTTTTTTTTTTTTTGGTTTTTTGTCCGAGACAGGGTTTCTCTGAGTAGTTTTGGTACCTGTCCTGGATCTCACTCTGTAGACCAGGCTGGTCTCGAACTCACAGAGATCCGCCTGGCTCTACCTCCTGAGTTCTGGGATTAAAGGCGTGCGCCACCACTGCCCAATTCTTATTATGTTAATAATTATTTAGGGAACCTTCATTCCTTACTGTCCTAACACCTCGTCAATGGTTAAGTCCACTGAGATGAGGACACACATCTCACTCATCCACTGTAAACAGTAACTAGAGCCATTATACAGCAAGGGCAGCTACACAGGAAAGTTTACTACTGATGTGAGAATACAATGAGGAAGTGAAGACACCTATCCATTCAATAAAGACTTATTGAGTACCCGTTACATGCCAAGCACCTACTTTGTCACAAAATGTCAACCAGTGTGTTTTAGTTCCTACAAACCTATAGCATTCCCAATGGCCTTCCCAAACTCACTACTGTCCATTTTACTATAGTAAACCCACACTCCTACTCAAGAACAAGCAAAGAGAAAGTGTAAGAGAATGTGCTTGTAAATCCAGAATGCTGAGGTGTTTTCCTGAGGACTTTGTCTCAGATCAATGCTACTGAGAAGGCAGACAATCGCCAGAGAAGAGTACCCAGAAATGCCTCAATGGACACCAAATGGTCATCCTTCTCACTCAGCTGCTCAGCCGAGGTTTCTTGTAGTCTGTTTGGAGTTATAGCATACCAGAGCTGAAAGGTGTGGTGTGATATTTTGATTGCATTCTAACACTCCCGAGACTACCAATAAAGTTTGCTTTGAATCAGAGGGTGCAGTTAGCTACCAGTTGACCAAAATTAACCATAGAGGTTTTGGAGGAGTGAGGACAGATAGACAAAAGGAAGTAGTAGGGCAGGGCTTAGAGTGAGTCTCTGCCTTTTTGGACTGAGGAATGAGAGAGAGCAAGTCACTGGCCGATTCTCTGATCATTCAGGTTCCTACTCTGATATCTGACTCTTAAGTTTTTATTGATAAAGAATAATTAGATAAATGCTTCATTTAGTGCCCCACATGGGGTGCCACGTATATCAAGTGTTTCTGTCCTGCCAGCAGCTCCCAAATCATGACACAGAGACTTATTATTAATTATGAAGGCTCGGCTGATAGGTTAGGCTTGTTTCTAACTAGCTCTTACAACATTTTTTTTGTTTCTGTTTTTCAAGACAGGATTTCTCTGTGTAGTTTTGGTGCCTGTCCTGGATCTCGCTCTGTAGACCAGGCTGGCCTTGAACTTACAGAGATCGGCCTGGATCTGCCTTCCGGATGCTGGAATTAAAGGCATGTGCCACCACTGCCAGGCCTAGCTCTTATAACTTAAATTAACCCATTTCTATTAATCTATGTCCTGCCCCAAGCTTGTGGCTTGGTTACCTCATCTATGTATTGTCCATCCTGGTTTCCTGCTTCCTCCATCTTTCCTGGCGTCTCCACCCTTCTTCCCAGCGTTCTCTCTGCCCTGAATATCCTGCCTAGCTATTAGTCATTTAGCTTTTTATTAAACCAATCACAGTGACACTTTTTCGCAAAGTACAAAAAGATTATTCCACAACAGAAAGGCAAAATCCAGCCCTCTATGATTTTACCTACATAGAAATGCCTGAATTAAATAAATAAATAAAGTGTAAACCTCAAAACAAACAAACAAACAAACAAAAACAAAAACCCTGAATTACAGAGAGGAGAAATGCTGTGTGTAAAACTGTTTGAACTACACAGGAGCTTTAGGACTACAGTCCTGGATTCTAGATCATCTCACCTAAACAGTCTCCTAGCTGACAGGTGAAATGTCAGCCTCCCTTTTTCCTGGACTTCCATTCCGCCTGCCTCTGTCTCCCAGGTGCTGGGATTAAAGATGTGCGCCATCACCGCCCGGCTGACTCTCCTTTTAGCATGAGTCCAGGAGCAAACTCAAGTAATCTAGTCTGAATGCAGGCAGCTTAACTAGCTGAGTCCTGTCACTGCTTCCCCAGTACACATTATTTAATACTAACCCCGCCCCCTTCAGGGTCAACAGACACTAGCCCCAGAACTGCTTTGTTCTCCAAAGTTACCTGTATTGTCCATTGCATTGGACAAGAGATAAGATCCCTCAGAGCTTAAACTCAAGCCAGTTACGGAATCTGCATGGCCTCTCATGGTGTAGGTTAATTTGTTTTGACGCAGGTCCCAAACCTGTAAAAACACAAAATTGCACTCAGGATTCAAACTGAAAAATAGCAAAGAAAGGCCAGGTATGGTAGTGTACACCTTTAAGCCCAGCACACAGAGGCAGGAGGATCTCAGTGATTTTGAGATCAAAATCGCTTGGTCTACATAGTGAGTTCCGGACAGGCAGGACTATATAGACACTATCAAAAAAAAAAAAAAAAAAAAAAAAAAAGCAGAGAAGTCCGGGCATGGTGGTTCATGACTTTAATCCCAGCACTCTGGAGGCAGAAGCAGGAGGCAGATCTCTGTGAGTTCAAGGCCAGTCTGGTCTACAGAGATAGTTCCAGCACAAACAGGGCCACACAGAGAGACCTTGTCTTAAATAACAAACAAATAAACCAAACAAACCAGAGTCTGGAGAAATGACTCAGAGGTTGAGTATTTGCTGTTCTTGTTTAGGAACTGGGTTTGGTTTCGAGCATTCACATGGTGGTTCATAACTATCTGTAATTTTAGTTGCAGGGGAATCCCTCTTCTGACCTCCTCCAGCACCTGGCACATATGTGGTGCACATATATGTGCACATGCAGGCAAAATACTCACACACATCAAATAAAGTCTAAAAATCTAAAAAAAAAAAAAAAGAAAAAAAAAGAGAGAGAGAAAAACGACTATATAAACCAGATGCCAGGCTTAGTGGTGTATGTCTAATTACAGCACTCAGGAGGCAGATGAAGGATTTTGAATTTGAGGTAGCTTGAATAACATAGAGTTCCAACTAACTTACTAAAAGACCATCTCAAAAAAATCATAAAAGCCAGGTAGTGGTGCATGCCTTTAATCCCAGTACTCGGGAGGCAGAGGCAGGCAGATCTCTATGAGTTTGAGGCCAGCCTGGTTTACAAAGTGAGTTCAAGGACAGCCAGAACTACACAGAGAAACCCTGTCTCGGAAAGAAAGAAAAAAAAGCTAAGTGCACCCCTGAATTCTAGTACTTGGGAGGAGAAGCAGGAGGATCAGAAGTTCAATGATACCCTTAGCTATATAGTGCATTTGAGGCCAGAGGTCTCAAAACAAAACTAAAAAACCTCCTACAGATAAAAGTAGACAAAGCTAGGCGTAGTGATGTATGTGGGAACATCATTAGAGACAGAGGCAGGATTGCTGTAAGCTCCATGCCAACCAGGGACACAATCAGGAAACTGAGTCACACAAAACAAAATGAAAACAAAGCCCAAAATTATATAAAGTAAACATGAAATTGGAAAAGTTAAGATTTTTCATCTTATGTTATAATATGTATATAGGAACAATATGTATGTATGATAGATGTATGTATGTATGTATGTATATGTGTATATATACATTTAGAAAAAAGGAAATGAAAAGCATATTTATGCAAAGAGCCCTTTGAGCCTCCTCTGGAAGACAGACACAAAAATACCTATCTAGGAGTTCTGCCCTTTGTTCATTGCTGAGGTTCAAGTCTGGGGTTTTGTGCCCTACCACTGATTACATCTCTAGGCCCAACAGTATCTGCACGTCTTCTGTCTGTCTGTCTGTCTTTTATATTCTTTGTAGTGCTAGAGATTGAACGTAGGGCCCCAAGCACACTAGGCAAGTGCTCTCCCCTTCTGAAAGATTACAAATAAGAATGCTTTGCATATGCCTGGTATATGGCAGGCTCTAAATATTACTGAGCAGTTCCTAAAAATAACTCTAAAGCCAAAATACAAAAATATTTACATAACAGGCGATTAAGCAAATATGTAAAAATAAACGTTAACAGAAACAGAAATAGCCTGGATGTCACAGGAAAAAGATTAGCAGTTTTGTGAAGGTCATTGGTATCATAAAAAACTTCATTTAATACTGCCACATACTTTTTTCTAAATAAATAAAATATCTGATGTCCCCTAAAGCACAGCACTTTCTTTTATTCAGAAAGGTGTGTGTAGGTTAAGAGAACTTCCTGCTCCAGAGTATCCGATGCAAAGTACCCTGGGTCACTTTCCAGGGACCCACATTGAGTGGCTAACAACTAAGGTTAACTTAGCTCCAAGGGATCAGACACCCTATTCTGTCTCCTAAAGGATGTACATGTATACACACACACACACACACACACACACACACACACACACACACACACACACACATACACTTTAAAAACCTCACTTTCAATGTTTAGACACATGCCTACAATGCCAGCATTCAGAAGGTTAAGATGGGAGGAGAACCTACCTCCCAAATAAACAAAACAAGCCAGGTATGGTACTACACACCTTTAATCTCAGTATTAGGAGGCAGAGGCAGAGGAATACCTGTGAGTTCAAGGTCAGCCAGAGCTACAGATCTACTGTCTCAAACAAAACAAGTGAACGCCAAACCAAAACTTAGTTTAGAGAGATGAAGGCTGCAGGGCTATGAGGATCAGGACACTTTCCAAAAACACAGGGAAGGATAGTTTTGAACACAGAGCTAAATTCAACCAGTATTCATTGGACTATATTTGTAGGTCTCTCATATCTGAGATAAGTTCAAATTTCAGATTAAAACTGGTATATATCAACATACAATGGCTAGGATTTATTCTCTGCAGAGACCTGCAATAAGAGAAGGTATAACACACTGTCTCTGAGAAGACAGAAACTACACAAGGACCAGGTAGACCTTTAGCCTGTACTACACTGTAACACGCAGAAGGCCCAGCAGCAGCAGCATCCACACTGCATTAGAAGACAAACACAGGCCTTCTTCGGCTTGTCTGCCCCCATGGTGAAGACAGGAGAATCAAATTCTCGTAGCTTAACTGAAAAGAAGCTAGCCCCCCAAAAGCTACACAATCATACACCCCAAGTATTCTGGAAAAGGAACTACAGGACAAAGAGATCAATGGTTGACAGATGTCAGGGATGGGCTTGACACAGAGCGCAACACTGTAAACTCCAAGGAGGCTGGAAGTTGTCTTACATTCTGGTTATTTACCAGATTTGTTCTGTTGTTTTTTGAGACAAGGTCTTACTATGTGGCCCAGGTTGTCCTCAAGCTTGTGATCCTCCTGCCCCAGCCTTCCGATGCTAGGATTATAGAGATGACAGTTTTTGACAGCCATAGGAAATCTATGCAAAAATTTTTACAGGTACATACCAAAGTAGCATCTTTAATTTTTTCACCTTTCGTTATTTACTTAGAGAGCACACGCAAGCCTCTAAATGGCTTGCACAGGGAGAGGTCAGAGGACAACTCAGGAGTCGGTTCTCTCCATCACACGGGCTCTAGGGACTGAGCAGGTGGTCAGGCTTGCTGTCGGGTGCCTTCACCCACTGAGCCATCTCCCTGGCTCCCAGCAGCACCTTAAAGAGTATACAAAGTACCGTGGCTTTAAGACATTAACTTACTTTTGTGTGTCTAAGCAGTATCCAGTCATTCCTGTCAGTGGGCACCACCTGTTCTGGAAAGCACTGTGCTAACTGTTAAAGCATGAAGCTGAAGATCTGGGTGGGGAATACACCCAGGGTGGAGAGCACAGTCAGACACGAACGAGATTTGCTTGGGTAAAGTGCACACAGCAAGAGCAGCATCTAGGAAAACTCACTGGGGAACAATGGCAGTGAAAGACTGCACACAGGGAAGGGGGAGAAAAGGAGGCTGTAAGGGGGCGGGGATGGTCAAACCATGAGCCAGAATAAACCCTCTTCTTGCTTTTGCCTGTTATTTTTATCAAGCAACAGGGCACTATCTGTGACTGCTCTAGAGGCAGTGGGACCTGGAAGAATGGAGCCTGTAAATGAGGTAGACTCGGGGGGGCTGGAGAGTCGGTTCAGTGGTTAAGAGCACTTGCTATTCTTGCAAGGACCCAGGTTCAATTCCCAGCATCCACACGGAGGGAGGCTCACCACTTTCTCAGGCACCAAGCAAGTACGAGTGAGGCAGGCGCTGCTCTCACTGTTGACCTTAGCTGTTCACTCAAGGAAACTGGGGCTTACAGGAGCTGAAGAAGACGCGGCAATCACAAAAGCAGAAAATGGCTGGAATTTAAGACAATTTCCTTGAAAGCTTGAGTGACACTGCACTGCCAAATGGTCGCTCCATGGCCCTTCCCCAATGTCAAGTTCTCTTCTTGGAAAAGCTTAGAAAACTTCCTTTCCAGTGTCAAAAATAACTATAATGAGGGAGGACAGTAGAGACTGATCAGAGACCAATCCCTGTCTCATTAGACCAGAGAGCTAAAAACGATTTTTTTTTTTAAGATTTATTTATTTATTATGTATACAGTGTTCTGTCTGCACGTATCCCTGCAGGTCAGAAGAAGGCACCAGATCTCATCACAGATGATTGTGAGCCACCATGTGGTTACTGGGAATTGAACTCAGGACCTTTGGAAGAGCAAGCAGTGCTCTTAACCTCTGAGCCATCTCTCCAGCCCCTAAAAATGATTTTCAATGTCTTTTGTGGGGTGAGAAGGTTCAGTAGGTCAAGGTACCTGCTACCAAAGCTGACAGTCTATGAGTTCAATTCCTGGGACTCACAAGACAGGTGAGAGGGGAGAACTGACTGCAAATTGTTCTCTGTCCTCCACACACAGAAATAAGTGTAATTAAAAATGAATAAACAAATATCTAGTCAGGGAATGATTACACTCTGCATTCTTTTTCCGAGAAAGGGTCTCTATGTAGCTCCAACTGTCCTGGAACTCACTCTGTAAACCAGGCTGGCCTTGAACTCAAGAGATTTGCCTGCCTCTCTGCCTCCTGAGTGTTAGGATTAAAGGTGTACACTACCAGGCTTGGCCATACTCTGATTTTTCATAGTTCCCCTCCACCCAAGGATTGCACACTTCATATTAACCACCTGGTCCTTGACGGCAATTATATTAGCCCAGATACATTTACCTGTAACCTTTGATTAGGGAGTAATTAGAGCAGGACAAAAGAAAGTGAGTTTCAGGTCATTATCTTCCTTTTAGTTGGCATTAAGTGCCAACCTCCTATAATCTCAAATTTTTAAAAAGATTATTCGTGAAAGGTAAATATGATATAAACAACCATACCTTAATATCATTGTCTATTCCACCAGAGATAATCTGATCGCTTGTGTCATTGAAGGTGACAGCTAACACCTGGTATGTGTTCTGAAATGTCTGGATAGCTGCTTTCTTCCGGATGTCCCAAAGCTGAAGCAGAAAACAGGCACCATCAGTAACATCATTCTCAGGAGCAATCACACAGCACGGCCTGATGCCCACCTTCCCACCCAAAATAGAAGTTTAAAGCAGTGAATTATTAAACAGCCAAGCTTGCCTACAAGGCCACGTCTGATAAGCTTTAAAATAAACAGGATGGAGGCTACAGAGATGACTTAGTGACTAAGAGCATTGGCTGCTCTTCCAGAAGACCCAAGTTCAATTCCTAGCACCTACAGGGCAGTCAGTTCCAAAGGATCTGACTCCCTCTTCTGGCCTCCATAGCACCAGGAACGGAAGTAGTATACAGACAGACATGCAGACAACACACCTATACACATAAAATAAAAATAAATAAATCCTACACAACCAGAACCATATAAAATGTACAAACGAACCACGCACAAACAAGTGTCAGGGAAAGATAAGACCTAGAAGACACTTAAGACTGTAGTCTGATTATTCAGAAAAGAGGCAGGTCATATGTCACCTCAGTTTATACCCCATCCTCTGCACTCAAGCACAGTCTGCCGTTCTAGGCTGACGCCTGACTTTGAAGGGCCGTAACATAGACTGTCTTGATCTCACTACTGTCTCCTCCAGTGCTTTCAGTATGAAACAAGAGTACCTCATGAAGTGAGGATCACTTTTCTCACACAATGAAGCCTGAAGAACAAGTCATATTAGTAGTATTTTCAGTTTCTCTGTCTCACTCTGCTTCTCTAAAGACAGGGTCTTGTTGCCATACAGGGCCCCAAACTCCCGGCCTCAAGGATTCCTATTGTCTCTGTCTCCCAAGTAGCTGATACTAAAGACACATGCCACAGCTTGGCTCAGATTCTTTTGTGAAAGTGTGAATAAACCTAATATTCCCAGCTTCTGAGGGGGTTGAGCCAAACCAACTGCTTAAGCCCAAGAGCTCTCTAGGCCACACTGCAGCCTGTTTCATTACCTGAAAAAAAACAAAACAAAACAACAACAACAAAAAACCCCAAAACAAGAAAAAAATCCCACAGGCCTCCCAAAGTGTGAAAAAAAACCAAAACCATAGTTAACATGCACACAGATTGAAATTTCTCTATCTGCTTACTTCAAATATTTCTGTGTGTGTGTGTGTAAGTGTATGTCATCTTATTTTTTGAGACATACATATACACATACCACACATACAATACAAACAGCAAATTAACAAACAGGTAAAGAAATAGAATAAACCTTACTCCTAAGATATAAAAATGGCCAAGAGGACCATAGAATGGGGTCTAGGTCAGCTAGGGCTAGAGTGAGATCCTGCTTCAAAAACCCCAAAGAGGGCTGGTTATAAGATAATGACTCAGTGGGTAAAGGTGCTTGTTGTCAAGCCTGATGACCTGAGTTTGATCCTTGGAAGCCACACGACAGGCGAGAACTGACTTCTCCAAGTTGTCCTCTGGCCTCCAGGTGCTTGTCATGGTGTGCACATAAACAAATAGGTGAAATTTAAAAAAGAAAGACAGGAAGGTGACTCAGTGGATAAATTGTCTGCTCGATATGCGAGTACCTGGGTTCAGATAGATCTCCGGCACCCATGAAAAAGCTGGCACAGTAGTTCACCTATGAGTCTAGCGCTCAGGAGGCGGAGCAGGAAGATCCCTGAGGCTTGTGGTCAGCTAATCTTCTCAGTAGGTGAGCCCCAGGTTCAGTGAGAGACTGTCTCACAAAGTAGGTGGGAAGAGGGAACTCCTGAAAGCTGACCCGTTGCTTTCACTTCTATAAATGTAAACACCCAGTCATGGACACACCCACAAATACTTAGGAGGTGGAGGCAGCAGGAGAAGTTGTAGTGCAAGTTTGAGGTCTATATGGCCTACCTGAGGCCGTCTCAAAATTGCCTTAGTGTAGTAAGCCTTCCTCTGTACAGCCAGCTCCCCAATAACGACGTGGAGACTTATTATTATGAAAGCTTGGTCTTAGCTTAGGCTTGTTTCTAACTAGCTCTTACAACTTAAATTAACCCATTTCTATTCATCTACACGCTGCAATGTGGCTCGTGTCTTTTACCTCTCCTCTTGCATGTCCTGCTTCCTCTACATCTAGCTGGCGACTCCATCTTTCTTCTTCCCTCCAGTTTTCTCTGTCCCGAGAAGTCCCACCTAACCTCTTCTTGCCTAGCTATTGGCCATTCAGCTCTTTATTAAACCAATCACAGTGACACATCTTCACTCAGTGTAAAGGAATATTCTGAAACTTCTCAGTTAGGGTTTCTATTGCTGTGATAACACCCTGTGACCAAAAGTAACTTGCAGAGGAAAGAATTTATTTCAGTTTATACTTTCAGGTAACAGCCTGTCACTAAGGACAGTCAGGACAGGATCCCAAGCAGGGCAGGAACCTGCAGGTAGGAGCTGATGCAGAAGCCTTGGATGGGTGCTGCTTATTGGCTTGCTCAGCCTATTTTATTTTTGTTTTTTGAAAAAATTGTTTTTGTTTTGTTTTGAGACAGGGTTTCTCTGTTTAACAGTCCTGGCTGTCCTGAAACTTCATTTGTAGACCAGGCTGGCCTCGAACTCACGGAGACCCACCTGCCTCTGCCTCCCAAGTGCTGGGATTAAAGGCATGCACCACCACCACCCAGCCAGTCTGTTTTTTTATAGCAACTAGGACCAGCAGCCTAGGTGGTGGCACCACCCACAGTGGGCAGGACTCTCCTATATCAATCATCAATTAAGAAAATACATCACATATTTGCCTATAACTGACCATACAAAGATATTTTCTCAATCAAGTCCCTTTTCCCAAATGACTCTAGTTTGTGTCAAACTGATTTAAAAAAAAAATGGCCAGCACAAAAACCCAACCAAAAAAAAAAAAAAAAACAAAAACAAAAAACAAAAACAAAACCTCAAAAAGAACATGAAAAGCTCAACTCTATAATTCATAAAGGAAATTAAATAAAAACACTGTTATTCTGGGCATAGAGGTACACACTGCAGAGGCCCACAGGTCTCTGTGGGTTAGAGACGAGCCTGGTTTACATAGTGACTTCAAGGACAGCCAGGGCTATACTGAGAACCTGTTTAAAAAAAAGAAAATAAAAATAAAACAAAAAACCAAAAGAAAGCAACAAACAAAACCACCACAAACAACACTGTTACTCATTAGGATAATGATTTTATTTATTTTATTTTTTTGGGACAGGAACTCACCATGTAACCCAGGCTACCTATAATCTCAGCACCCAGGAGGCTGAGGTAGGTCACTGTCAACCTCAGGCTGGTCTGTACTACACAATAAGTCCCTGACTGGAAACCAATCAATCAACCAGCCAACCTCAACCAAAGTGCCAGGCACAGAAGTACACAGCAGGATCATCTGAACTCGGGAGACCAGCCCGCAACACAGCAAGACTCAAGCCTCGGAACCCACACCTGAAATCCCAGTACCCAGGAGGCCTAGACAGGAGGAACAAGAGTTCTGAGGTGAGGCCTGTCTACACAGTAGGTCCGTGTCTCAAAAAGTAAACCAAAAAACTCAAGAGTTCCTTATCTCCCTGCTTCCCAATCACAAGCACCATGATCACAGAACTATATCACTATATTCATTCAGCTGCAAAAAAAAGTTTTTGCACACGTGTGTGTAGTGTGCACTCGTGATGCATGTACGAGTGTGTGACACATAAACACTTATGAATCTGCTTGTGGAAGCCAAAGGCTGTCATCAGGTGCCTCTCCACCTTACATACTGAGATGGAGTCTCTAAACCCTGAGCTGGCCATTTCAGCTAGTCTCACTAGCCAGCTTGTTCCATGGATTCCCTGACTCTACCACCAGGGCACTAGAATTACAGTAGATCACCAGGCCCACCATCTTTCTTACTTGGGTGGTAGGGATCTGAACTCTGGTCCCCATGCTTGCACCAAAAAGCACTTTACCCCAGCCCTGGAAAGAGTGAGACTGTTGTACCATGTAGCTGTAATGTAAATGACACTGGTACTCTGTGCTGTGCTTGTGGAAAGTGGACTCCTGGAGTGGAGAGGCCTTTGTTGTCTCCTCCAAACCCCTTCTGTAGTGGGGAAACAGCAAGCAGTTCAGGGAATTGAAATCCATGCCTTTGAGAACAGCTAGAAGGTAACCGACTCCAATAGAGTCACCGTTATCCCATTATACAAAGGGCCTGCAGTGGGAGTGAGAAGCCAGAAGCTCAGTGAGGAACTCCAGCAGTATACCCCAACTTCCCCGCTGACGTCTGCTGGGCGTTTGTGTGAACTCTGAATTGATAATGTTACATTTGTCTGCCTTCTCAAGCAGGCTACTTAGGGTGTCTCTGCTGGCCATTATAAACTAATTTGAGGATGTTTTGCTATTTGCTGTTTGTGCTACCTACTATTTGTTCTTCTACATTTGCTTGTTATGTACTTAATAAACCCATTCAAAACCAAAGGTATAGCCACCACAGATCATTCTCCATACTGTACAGGAAAGTAGCCCAGGTTGACCTCAAATGTGAGACCCCCCCCCCCCCCCCACACACACACACACTGAGATTGTAGCTGGTCTCATTTTATTTGTAGGGAATGTCCAGAGCAGGTAAGTGAGAGACACAGAAAGGTCAGAAGTTGCCAGGGGCTGGAATATAGGAATATAAGAATGACTTAGTTGGGTTTCTGTGGGGATGATGAAATGTTCAGGAATCAAAGTCACCTTAATTTTGAATTATTTCATTTCTTTTAAGTGCTAGAGAGTAAACCAAAGACCCTGCGCATGCCATTCAAGGACTCTACACTGAGTTCCAGCCCCAGTCTAGCTTTTTAAGATTTCAGTGATGAATTTACATTTTATCTCAAGTAGAAAAATCTATAGGAAAGAGAAACCTGAGAAAAGAGTGCTTTCCTTTCCTTTTTTTTTAAACAAAAAAAAAAAAAACCAGACACTTAGCTGTATAATCCTCCAGAACGAGTATAAACTTCTTAGTTTGGAAGTCAAGGCCTTGATCATCCAGCTCTCATACATGAT